TTTCCACGTCTCTACTTGGGACGCCTGGAAAGACGATGTTGATTTGGCGACTAAATAAAAAGAAAAAAAAGAATGACTCGAATGTTCCTACGGAAGTTCGAGTTAAAACTAAATGGTAATAGAGGTCAAGAACTTCAAACTTCAGTCAGAGTAGCTCCATTGCATGCAATGGAAATTCAAGTGCTTTTTTAAACAATTAAGAGTTTCGTTATGTTCACTATTTAGATATAAACTTTAAGTACAAACCAATCTCTTGGAGCAAATCCTTTCTTTGTACTCAAAATTACATCCTATGCGACTAATCTAAGTTCAAACATGCACAAAAAAAAAAGATTTAAGGTTGAAGATCAACTATTCTCTTCAACAATCAAGTATTTGAATATTCAAGTTTTTCCGGGCTTATCTCTTGGATGTTGCACGTGGTTTAATAGTAAAACTTGAATGCTGAAATAACCCTTGAATTTTGGCAAAGATCTAACCACATACATACTACCTACGTTATAACAACCTACCAGATGAACACTTAAATGGAGGAATGACTTTTGCACTTTTCTTTCTTTTATAACAGCAGATTATTTCTAAACGGAGTGCAGAATTGGACACATAAGTAGAAAAGAGTACAATAGTTTAGCCAATAAGGAGAAAGGTTGGTGGGGAATCCATCCAGGGGAGTTCGGGGTGAGAAAATTGCTCGATAAGCCTCATAAGGAGATATTACGCTCTTTTATGGGTTGGGTTGCTTTACTATGTCTGGGCTACAATGAATAGTTTTGCGTGACTCCGTCAAAATCAACAGGTCTAAGCTCGCTGGTTAAAGTAATACAGTTTTAAGTCAGTATTTTTGTATTTGAAAACATCATCATTTATTTTTGCTCTTCTGATTCTTTTCATAAAATTCTAATTAATCATGTTAGAATATATTTTGGGTCTTTAAGCTCTTGTATCAAACAGAGCCGTGAAAGAGAAGGCCTATTATCGTCCTACTCAGGTAAGGCACTTAAAGATTATTTTTCTCCTGAACTTGGATCAGGAATCCAAGATCTCACCGGTAACTCTATCACTGAGAATCTATCAGGTAAAACTTGGGAGTGGGACGGTGGTAAAGGAGTCACCATTTCCCTTGTTTATGTCA